GGTCACTCTCCGTTAACCTTCGTTAGACTCCGTTAATGACGATCGTTAAGTGATGACGTGGCTAACATAAAGACAAATCAGCATATTTTAACATTAAAAAACGACGACCCGACCCGCCAGCTCAGCCTTACCCGCCCTGTCAGCCATTCTTGCCCAACCCGCGAACCAACCCAATTAATTGACCCTAAACCCAAACCCGAGACCCAACCCCCCTGAAAAATAAATCGAAAACAGATGGTTAGGGCATTTTCCTTTCTCCATCTTCGTCCTCTCATCCTCCCGCGCCCATCCACCTTCGTGTGTCGATCCTTAGTCGACCGCTTCGACGCTGCCGCCGCCACCGTCACCGCCCCTGCCCCTCCGCCTGTTACCACTGCCAGGCTGTTGTTGTTACTACTCTCGTTTTTCTGGGCAGAGGAGTCCGACAACGGCCCAGATCTTATGGCGAGGGAGGCGTCGACATGGTGGGTGGAATTCGACGGCGTGGCGGCGGGAGAAGGGGAAGAAGAAGAGGAATTGGTAGTAGTAGTAGTAGTAGTAGCGGTTGGAGTTGTAGAAGTAGTAGAAGGAGCGGAGGTGGGAATATGGTGGAGATGGGGGAAGTAAGAAGGAGCTGTAGAACGGGAGATGGAGCCGATGAAAGGAGGAGGCTGAGGAGATTAATTGTCCGCCTCCGCCTCCACCTCCACCGCCGCCATCGAAGCGGAACTGTTGGTACTGGAGAAGATGGTGGTGGAGATGGTGAGGGTGGGGTTCTTGGGAGGAACTGTTGTTGTTGTTGTTGTTTTGCTGCTGCTGCTTATTGGGATTGCTTTGTGAATCTGTGAGCTCCATTCTTTTTTGTTTGTGTGGGGAAGGGGGAGGAAGGAAGGGTGGCTGGCCTCCTTGTGGGGAGAGCTTTTCGATGGTGTGCGATGGAGAGAGGCGGCGCGGGAGGATGAGAGGACGAAGATGGATGAAGGGAAATGCCCTAACCATCTATTTTCGATTTACTTTTCAGGGGGGTTGGGTCTTGGGTTTAGGGTCAATTAATTGGGTTGGTTCGCGGGTTGGGCAAGAATGGCTGACAGGGCGGGTAAGGCTGAGCTGGCGGGTCGGGTCGTCATTTTTTAATGTTAAAATATGCTGACTGTGTCTTTCTGTTAGCCACGTCATCACTTAACGGTCGTCATTAACGGAGGTTAACGGAGAGTGACATAACTTGGACTGTTCAACTAATTCGAGTGACTATAAATGGAATAAATCAATTTGAGTGGCAAACGTGAAATTTTTAAGCAATTCGAGTGACCAAACTTGCAATTAAGCCCCTTTGCATTATATCAATTAGGGAGAGGACAAAAAAAAATCCGTATTCAACCCCGCTCAAAATAAATCAGGTGGAAAGTAGCATACCTTATACCTATACACGCTGACATTGACGTTTCTATCCAAAATTAAGGGTTTTATTTAGGAAAATCGAAGTTTATTTTTGGACTTGAATAAGAACGTGTTCTAAATTCAAGGATCTAACAAATATTTGTTTCCTAAACAAGTGAAAATAAACTTGGGGGTTGTTTGGATTAGGAAATTTGAGGAGGGATTTTGCCACAATCCCTAGTCATAAGGGATTTGGTCACAATTCTTTGTTTGGATACAAAAATAAAAATGAGAGATTTAGGTGATTAGGAATTTCGAAAATCCTGCTATTAGGAAATTTAAAATAACTGATTGACCCCAGGTTTTTTGAAATCTCTGCTCATTTTTCCCAAACCTTCCCAATATGTCCTTCCTTATTTTTTGTTATTCCTTTCTTGCCCTCCCCTGAATAGACGACCCACCAGCCACCACTTCCCATCTCTCTTTCCCATCTGCATCTCTTTCTTCCCTCCCGATACGACAACTGCAAGCAACTCAAAAACCTAGCGACGCGGCGATTGCAGCGGAGATAAACCTCGCGACGTCGGCGACTATAGCGGAGTTTTACCAGCTCCGATCTACAGCGACGTCGGCGTTCTCCTTGAAGTGCGTCCGATCTCCATCTTCGATCTCACCAGCTTCGCGTGGGATCTGTGTTTCGCGCGCACGAGGGTAACAAGGTGGTGAAATTCAGGGCTCGGCTTTCAGGTTCGTCCTCCCTTCCTCCTTTCCCTCCCTATGCTTGAACCGTTCTGGGTCGGGGCTCTGTTTTCTGGGTTTATGTGAATTAAGAGTTTGGGTTGAGGTGCGAATGATCTTCTTCCTCATTTTGTTTGAATATATGAAACTAGGGTTCTATATTGGTGTGAACTGATGAATCTTCTTCCTCATTCTGTTTGATTAAAGGAAACTAGGGTTCTTGATTTGGGTACGATTTGTTTCCGAACATGGGTTTCGACCCCTCAGTCCATAGTGCTAAATGGTAGGAAGGGGAACAATATTTTTACCTCTTTGTTTTCATTGAGCACAAATGCCCCAATACCAACTCGATGAGATGCATTGATAGGGAGAGTATCAGGTTCGTCTTCAGGCAGCCAAGGCACGAGCATTACATAATCTGATTCAGCATGGTGAAACCTAAACCCTTCCTGTAACCAACGGAATCCCAGACACCAGTTCATTCAATTCATTAGAAACCTAAGAACAAAAAGCCCACCCTAGAAATGAAATTTAAACCGAGGCGTGATTTTGAGTTACCTTAACTACTGAATCCACTAGGTGAGACTGGTTTATTTGCAAGCAGAGAGAGCTCTATCTCACTCTAGCTCTCCATTTCTGAGCTTAAAATAAGCAAAACCCTCCTTAAAACCCTGCAACCTAACAGCCCTGCAAATTCCCAGAAATGGTGTGTGGTCTTCAGTAACTCCTTTTCAAAGTATTACATTCTTAATAATAAGTATCACTTCATGTTGTCTTACTGAGTTGAGTGAATGGATGGTTTGTGTACTGATTTGAGTGAATGTTATGATTTGATATGAATGGGTGATTTGGTGTACTGGATGGCTTGTTAAATTTGGAATCCATGAATTTCTTTATGTCGAATTGATCGTTTGATGTACTTATTTAACTAATTTAAAATTTAATTTCAAAAGGATGTCTCGGCTGTCAAGGATGTCTTCAATGGAAAGACGCAAGCTGATTGCGGCAATTAGCGCATTTTGGAATCTCATTATAATATATGTCGAGTTAGGGATGGAAGTAATGAAACTAACAGAGCTATTGCTTGTAAATCCTAGACTTGGTAGACAGCCCTTAGATGGTTACGCGATGAGACACTATGATCGACAACGAGTCATTTACAAATGTACCAAAATGAGTGATACCGAAAGCCATAGGAAGATCAGGATGAACCGTACATTATTCACAAAGTTGTGTGACCTTCTAGCTGCTGAAGGTGGGTTGAAAAGAACAAGAAACATAGAAATAGATGAGATGGTTCTGACGTTCCTCTTAACTATTTCACATAGTGACAAAAATAGGAGTTTAGCAGTAGATTTGCGTCGTTCCACAGAAACCATTTATCGTTCCTTTCACCGGGTGTTGCGTGCAATCCTTAGACTCAACAAGCTTCTAATGAAGAAGGCTGAACCAATTCCAGCTGATTCCACTAATAAAAGATGGAAGTATTTTAAGGTTTGCCAACTAAAAACTGTTCTTATAATCTTTCTTATAGAGCAGCTTGTCAAAATGTGTTGTGTAACATTTTTTTCTTCTTCATTGATATAGAACTGTTTGGGAGCTCTTGATGGGACCCATATAAATGTTCGACCACTGAAGGAAGAACGAACTAGGTATCGAGATAGGTCAGGCCATCTCACAATGAATTGTTTGGGAGTTTGTACTCCCGACTTAGAATTCATCTACTGTCTTGCTGGATGGGAAGGGTCTGCCCATGATTCAAGGGTCTTGAATGATGCCTTGAACAGGCCGAATGGCCTTGTTGTGCCAGAAGGTAATTGTATTACAATCAATAAAACTAATTGGTATATGCGTCAAACTTGATTCAAGGGTTTAGGAAATCTAATTCAGAATATTTTTTTGGTTTAGGGTGTTATTATCTTTGTGATTCTGGCTATGCTAATAGCCCCGGATTTTTGACCCCGCTTCGGGGTCCAAGATACCATATTGATGAAACAAGGGGACATCTGCCGCAAACAGCCGAAGCATACTATAATTGGAGACATGCTCAAGCTAGAAACGTAATAGAAAGAATCTTTGGAGTGTTAAAAATGAGATGGGCAATCCTTAGGGAGTCAACTTGGTTTTCTGTACCTGTTGTAGCTCGAATTGTGCTAGCTTGTTGCATTCTGCACAATTTTATAAAGAAAGAACATGGTGTCGATATATATGAAAGGACATTTCGAGACCAAGACATACAACAACATGGATCGAATGAAGTTGATATGGTCGGAATATCCAGCACTCAACCAACTGAAGCGTGGAATCAGTTTAGGACTGATTTGGTCTCGGAGATGTGGCAAACTCGACCTGCTAGATTTCGAGCTTCTTCTTGAGTTTGATTCGTTGTTGTTTGGTTGTATGGCTGTTTTCATTTAATGTTAAGGACCTATTCAGTTGTAATGGTTAAGACATGTTCAATTGTAATTCAGGGTAGTTATTTTGACAAGTAGGCAGAATTAATGTTAAGACCTGTTCAGTTGTTCTTACTGCCGTGTCTTTGTTCCATGTCTTTATAATCATGTTGTTGCTGCTGAAATACATGCTGCTTGTTCTTGTTCTTGCTACTGAAATATATGCTGAAATACATGTTGCTTATTCTTACAACAGTTACTTGGGGATTAGTATTTTATTTCTATGAGTAGAATGGGTAAGTTTCTATATAATGTATATGACTGTTAGGCAATTGGGCTCAGGAATGCAGCTGATTTCAACATTTCTACAAGCAACCCTTCTGAGAATGATCCCAATGCTATCAAAGTGCCTTGCCATCATCATCAATACATAAGAAAAAAAATATTCCAGACTTGATTTTGAGCAGTCTTCTCATTAGTTCTGCACTCTTTTGTATTCTTCTGTTTTGCAGCATGGGAAAGAGAAAACAACGCGATGAGGATATGGATGTTGCTTGCTCTAAGACATATACGTACTGGAAAGAGGAACTAGACAAGCCATTTGCTGACTGTATTCTGGAGCTAGTAGAGAAGGGGCAGATCGTTGACGGCAACTGCAAGAATGGGGCTTATAAGCAGTTAGAGAAGCTGTTGCAGGAAAGAGTGCCGGGATGCAGGGTCAAGGCACATCCTAACATTGAAGGCAGGTTCAAAAAACTGAAGAAGAGATGGCATGCAATAACATTTATGAGAAAACAAAGTGGTTGGGGATGGGACGAGGTCAATAAATGCATTGTATGTCCCGAGGGATCTTGGGATGAGTTTGAGAAGGTAAATTACAGCATGATTTTTATTTTTCTGTCCTATAAACCACTCCTTTTCTAATATAAGCTGCCATTTTCTTTCTATGTATATTGTTGTCTTGCAGAAGCACAAAAGCTGCAGAGGGTTGAACAAGAAAAGATTTCCCGTCTACGATGACTTAGCACCGGTTTTTTGCAAAGGGCGTGCAAGTGGTGAGCATGGGGTCGACACCAATGTTGTTGACGCTATCGATTTAGAGGATGACGAAACTGCACCTGTCGAAAATGAAGAAATGGATGATGTGTTGATGGATGAAATACAAGCAGAAATGGCAGCACAGAATAATCAATCTGCCAGTGTTACCGCTTCAACTGATGGTGCTCCAATTAAGAAGAGAAAGAAAAGTAAGACAGTCGATGAACACCTCGCCAACTCCAATGAGGAAATGAGAGAACTTCGACCACTCATTAAGCAATCAGTTGACACTATTGCAAGAGCACTCGGGGAGAGCGATGATCTCATTAGCAAAAGATCGAATCTGCTGAGGAAGCTGGAAGAACTTGGAGGCCTCACAACAACTGATATCATGACTGCATTGCGGAAGCTCTCTAACAATGATCGGGACCTGGTGACATTCTATTCGTTGGAGGCAGATGAATATAAGATGGCTTTTGTTAGGGGATTGCTTGGATGAAGGCGAATGATTTTAGGACAAGCTGGAATTTTTCTATATTAATGTGCTTATGAATCAAACTTTGAAGGTTGGTCTTCATGGTTGTAATCCCAGATTGTGTGTTGAGCTTTTTGGGATATACAGTATGTTTCTCTAGGCAGTAGTAAGACATGTATTATGAACAGCTTGTTATGGAACAAAGACTCGGCATTAAGAACAAAGCAGCATGTAATTCAGCAGCAACTGTTATGCAATCTTGTTTCTGTTATGCAATCTTATTTCAGCAGCAACTGTTATGCAATCCCCTGAAATCATACAGACAAAGCCTCCACACAGGCTCTGCCTCTTCGACCAGCTCACTCCCTTGACATTTTCTCCCATGATTTTCTTCTACGCCAATCCTGACCACAACAATCCCAATCATGCTTCCTTCATCCGCCGCCTGAAGCACTCCCTGGCCGAGACTCTCGACATTTACTACCCTTTATCCAGCCGGACCGGCCCAGCAAACTTGGTCATCGACAGCTTCAATGCGGGCCTCCCTTTCACTCTAGCCCATGTCGTCGATTGCCGCCCCTCCCAGTTCCTGAAACGCAAAGAAACAGAGCTCCTCAACCATCTCCTCTCTCGACAGCCGTTTCAGAAGGAGCCTTCCGACGTGGATTCCCCTGTTTTGGAGCTTCAAGTCTCTGTTTTCAATCTATTCCAATGGTTTGCTTCTCAGCTTGTTTTGGTTCCTCCAAGTGACGGCCGGCCTTTGGCTTATTGATTGGAACATCCGGTGAGCAGGGGATAGAGCTAGGACTCTGCCTCGTCTGTTTTGCTTCCAGGAAAACAGCCGCCGGTCTCGAGGATTCCAGGAGGACGCAAAAGAGACGGATTAAAAGGGTCTGCAAAGAAGAGAGTGAACAGGGCAAAATAGTAATTTTAGGTTTGTCATTAAAATCTAAATTGCTCATTGGACAATTCTGGATCCCTTATCAAACAAGTAAATTGATTCAATTTCCTTGTTTAAATTACCTGGATTTTTAAGTGCAGAATTTGGGTACAAATCCCTTATGAATCCCTCAAATCAAAATGCTTAATCCAAACGACCCCTTGGGGAGAAAGTCTCGCGGGAAACAAAATAGGAAAACTGAATGAAAATTCCGTACTGGCCGCGATTTGCTCTCAGGCGAATCAAAATCCCCCTTTTCTTTCTTTTTCTAGCGAACGCATCTCAGAAAAAAGAGGAAATTCTATTTATTCCCTTTTTTCTAATTTCCCCTTTTTTTTCTTGATTCGGGGTGGGAGGGGAAAACGGACCCACGTCACGAGAAGGTTAATTCGGGAAGAAGACACTTCAGTGGCAACAAACCGTAAATACACCCAGTATCCAGACCCAAAAGACACAGCCCTGCGAAGAAAATAAAAATGAAAAAAAAAGTCAAAAGAGAGGCCAGAAGAAAAGAGACACCAACCTACTCGCGGCGCAACGTCATAAAAATGGTCTGCCAACTAAAATCCTTCCCCCCATAGCCCATCACACCCACGCGCTTCCTCACTCTGTTTATCCCACTCGCACCCCACACTCACCATCTCAAAGCTACGTAAGATCGACGAGCTAGTTTTCTAGGTGGGCGTGAACTGGGCTGGTGGGTGGTGGGCCACAAACGTTGTTAGCAAGCAATGGGAATAGCGAGCCGCCGGCCCGGCCCATTATGCATGACTTAGTGGGCCCATGACATGTCCCAATGGTGGTTCATGCATGACCATGGATGTGATGAAACCCCTTGCCAGCTCATCACCAGTTTCTCTCTTTCCTGTTATTTCCCTTACCCCAGTGAAACCTCCTAATTTATTTATAGAAAAATATTTTTATTTATGGAATCCAATTTATAGAAAAGATTTGATTTCCAAAAAATAAATTGTTATTTTTAGACGATATATGTTTCCATTTCACCCATAATAATCGTCATCATCATCAAATTTTTCTAAATTATTTTAATTAATTTAATAAGCGAGTTAATGTTAGATGTGGTGAGTGGAAATCGTCGGATCAGTTACACAGCTAGACAGGGAATTCTCCAGGGGGGAAAAAGAAATAACAGACGGATTATTCACTCATTTATGTGGAAAAATTAGGTAAAAAGTAATTAATAATTTTCCACCAGTAAATGCTTTTTGGGCGCACCGCCTCTCTATCTTCCTTTTTCTTTCTGTCTTCCTCTTTTTAACTCAGAAAATTTTGACCGAAACGCTCGGCGGCAGGTGAATGGCCTTGTAGAGCGCTGGAATAAATAAAGAGCGACTGACACAGAGCGAGAGAGAGAGAGAGAGGAACAGAGTGAGTGAGAAAGAAAACACAGAGCAGCAGAGAGAGAGGGACGGCGACAGGAGGAGGAAGAAGAAAAAGAGGTACCCATTTCACAGTGAGAAAACGTCTGCTCTTTTGATTTTTCCTTTCTCGGGAAAAATCGTTTCTTTGTCTCGAGAAAATTTGTAGTTTTTTAAATACTATTGATGATGATGAATTGTTTATTGTATGGAGTGTTTGTTGTTTGCTCGTTTGTTTTCTTTTTCCAATTTGATAATTTCTATGATGTTTCTATAGAGATTTGCGTTTTCTGGGTCAGTGGGTGGTGTGGGGTTTTGGGGAAAGGCGAAAGTTCATAGTGGACATTTCACTGTTTCAGTGAAAATTATATTAACAAAGACCGGCCATTTCTCTCTCTCTCTCTCCCCATCCTTTTGCCTGCTTTGCTTTGGTTTTACAGATCGGGTTTTGTCTGGGTGAAGGAAGAAGAGGGGAGGGGAGAGGAGAGAGTGAAGGAGGGAGAAAAAATCTCGGCCATAGATTTGCAATCCTCTGTTTTTTTTTTATAAATAGGGTTTTTGGGGGTTTAGTAACGCCCCTTCTGGCCTCTCTGCTTACTCTCTTTCTTCCTCTGCTCTCGCCTTCTGCGCTTCACATCTATCTATCTATCTTGTTAGGCTTATCGTTTGGGGTTTTTTTTTCTTGGGTCTTTCCTCTCCTTGAAGGGAAACGAGGAGGAAGACAGGGGGAAGAAGAGAGCTCTCCACTGTTCAGGAGTCGTGGGATTTATGTCGGCTGGATTTAATTTGGCTGTGATTGGGGCTCCGTTGAAGCTCTCTGGTATTTTGATTGCTGCTTCTACTAAAGTGACTGTCTCCGACGCCGTCAGCTCTCTCCACTCTGCCGTTGCCGCTCGCAGACGCTGCTGCTTCCCCTGCTTTATGCGACTCTGCTGTTCCCAGCAGAGAACGGTGCTGAGGTCCTCGTTTGATTCGATGCGTTTGAGGCCAAAACGGTATGCTTTTCTCTCCGTCACTTTGTATGTACTGTTCTGTTTGTGGAAATCTGTAGTGGGTTTCGTGGGAAAGACAAAGGTTGTTCGATGAAATGCCTGACCGGCGGACTTTTTTCTTTGTTTTTTTTGCAGGACTTCTTCTGGTATTGTGGAGTGCTTTGGGGGTTTTCACATAAATCGATTTTCTCACTTATTCTTGTTCTTGAGAGGGGGTCTCACTTGATTATCCCTCTGGTTCTTCTCCCCTGAGCATTAAACCCTTCTTTCTCTTTCTTCTCTCTTATTTCTATAGACTGCTTCTAATCCAACTGAGATTATACTGCTCTGATTTCGTTTTGGTGAGATCAAAAAAACCTTTCTGGGTGTCTATTGAGGGGTTTTGGTGAGTGGGTTCTGAGATTTACCATGCCGGGGCCTGTAGAACAACAGCTGATGGTCTCACCGGAGACTTTGCAGGGAGTTCTTACCAACTCTTCCCCTTCTCAGGACTCCATGGAGTCAAGGGTTCGGAAAGTCCGAGTCATATATCAAGATCCTTATGCTACAGATACCGATTCCAGTGATGATGAATCGGAGTGCCCTGTTCCAGCTTTGAAGAAAAAGTCCAAATGTTTTGTCCGTGAGATTTGTGTCCCTGCCTTATCCCCTTCGCAGAGCACTGTTGAGCAGCAGCTGCAGGAATCTTCCTCTCAAGACAGCAGCAACAACGACGACACCAGGTCCAAAAACCCCATCAAGAGAAGGGTGTTGGCCACCGCTCGGTCGTTCTCAAAAGGACCCAAGAAGCCGGTGGGTGTTAGGCAGAGGAAATGGGGGAAATGGGCTGCTGAGATTCGAAACCCCCACACCAAATCCAGGGTGTGGCTCGGTACTTTTGCCTCTCTTGAAGAGGCTGCTCAGGCTTACGAGGACAAGAAGCGAGAATATGATGCTTCCTTCCCTTCGGAAGATCACCAGAAAAGTCTCAACAACATACTGCCTCAGTCTCCCTGTGCAGTTGCTACTGATGCTGATGATGTCACTCCCTCCAACAGCAAGAGTCATCCACCTTGTGGCTCGACTACCAGTGATACTGATTCTCACAGCCTTGTATCCCATACTTCTCCAGCATCTGTCCTCGAGGTGGACAACTGCGTGGTGTCAATGTTGAACTGCGGTTTTGACAAGGGAGAGTGCTTTGACTTCATGGAGGAGGAAGGTTTGCAGGATACTGCTCTTACTGTTGAAGACCTTGAGATACCTGATTTGAGCTTTATTGACGAGGCATTGGTGTCTACTTGTCCCGTGGTTGATCAAGATCTCGACTTGGGTGTTGATTTCACCAACCTCATTGACGAGTTTGGCAGGATGTACGATGATTACTGTGGCATTGGGGATGACCTCGACTTCCTGGGGTTTGAAGGAGGAGAAATGCTACCAACTGAGCTTCCTGATTATGATTTTGAGTTCAGCAGTGAGGAGTTTGCCTACTTGGATGATCATCAACAGCAACAACAACAACAACAACAACAACAACCCCTCAATATTGCATGCCCATAAGTTTTGCAGCTAGGAGAGTTTTCCATGTTCAATTTAATTTCGTATCGTAAGTCATTATTATTATTAATGTATTCGTTGAAAGACAAAAAAAAGATGGGTTCTGTTCTGTAATAGGCAGAGAGTGAGGAGATCTCAAGAACACCGCTCGACAAGCATTGTGGTGTTCTTTTCTGAGAAAGGTTTTGGCGGAGTGAGTTTTGTTTATCACTGTTGTTCAGTTTTTTGTCTGGTTGAGATGGTGAAGATGTGCAAGGCCATCTTCACTCTTGTCTTCTGTGTTTCAATGTCCAGGAATGAATCCTTGAGGGTTTTGCTGGTGCTGTAAAAGCCGTCCCAAAATGGGTTTGTTCCATCCAGTCTTGTAAGTCTTCCTCCCCAGAGCAATCGTTGCTGTGAACTCTGGCGGAGGGTATTGGAAGAGAGATGCTTAAAGGACCCATTTCATTTTCTCTCATGTTTCTACTGAAATGGAACTGTTTGATCATAGTGTTAAACTGGGTTCTTTCTGTCTTCTTCGTTTTCTATCGTTGCATTACAGTTACTTCTGAAGCTTTCATTACTGTTGTCGATTGATTGTGCTGTGCATTAATAGTTTGTCTCAGGTGGAGGATGTGGGTATTGAAGTCGTGTAGGTGAGATTTTCATTTTGCGTGTGTACTGTGGGAGTGGTGGCAGCAAGGAAGAGCGATGTTTTGAGATTCGCAGCTACTGCTGGACCAGTACTGGGCTGCGTACGTTCTGGTAGAGGTGGCAAACCCCATTTCCGCATTAAATTGAAGACATTTTCTTTGTCTGCCATGAGTAGGGGTGGCTATACGGTCCGGTCCGGTTAAATTGGCCCAAATTGATCCGGTCCAGTCCGGTTTTTTTGAAAATATAAGGACCGAAGATTGGATTGGATACAGTCCGGTCTTGATCCGGTCCGGTCTTGACCCGGTCCGGTCCCAATTCGGTCTTGGTTTTATATTGAGATTGTGGGAATTTGAGTGGCCTAAGGCCTAAAAGGGTGAGGAGTTGGTTAAGTTTTGTACTAAGTGCAAAGGTTTGTGACCGTTTATGCAAATTACCCTTAAGTTTTGGATGTTGAGCTCTCTTATCCGGTCTTTATCTGGTTTTTTACCTCAAATCTAAGCCCAAAGATTGGATTGGATTGTTTACTATCCGGTCCCGGTCCGGTCTCGGTCCGGGTTATACGGTCCGGTTTCCGGTTTTTCATCCGGTCCCGGTCCAAATAGCCACCCCTAGCCATGAGATAGCTGGATTGCAAAAACATGGTTTTTGTGTTTTCCGGTCACTCTCTGTTGCTCTCTGGTCTTGAATCTTGATGCGTCTGTCTATAGTAATATTCTTCAGTTCTCATCCTGGGAGGAGGAGGAGGAAGTGTGTGGAATTGTTTCTTTTGACTCTCTTGAGTTTCCAAGAAGTGGGAGCCCGGGTCACTTTCTTCACGATTGATTGCTGGTTGACTTGTTGTTGAAGAGTTAGGAAGGGAGAGTGGGGTGGTGAAAGATGCAAATTCCAGCTGAAATGAACAAATTGACATGTGGGTTAATGATGCTTTGGTGGTAGGAAGTAAGAAGTAGAAGTGGGTTATCTCTACTATCTTCTTGGCGGGCGGCAGGTTTGGCAATCAATGGGGAAACGTCGCTTTTGTTTTCGTATTATATCCGACTTTGGTTTAGCGTTTGTATTGTAACTGCGGCCTTAATATTCGTGTTGACTGCTACTACAGTCTACAGCCCAGCCAAGTAGCACACAGTTCACTCCCTTTTCACTAACCGTAAGACCAGTAGTAGCTTATTGTTAAGTAGTGAAACTGAAAGGTGGGTTGATTAAACTAAGTAATAATGGCTAAGATCGACCGTTTTCTTTTGCTAATTTTAATGGCTGCCTGCTGCGTAACTTTGGAATCACGTGGATGGTGGAGACGTGCAGATTAGTGGGGATGTTGATTAATATTAGCAGCAGCAGCAGCAGCAGCAGAGTGCAGAGCTAGAGAATCAGAAATTGCACGAGGAGGTCGGAAGAGATGCTTTTTTTTGGTGGTCGCAGCAGATCTTTGACCTCTTAAACTAAATTTTTATGACCGAAATTAAAGGGCGTTAAGCTAAATAATGATCAGCGTTTTGTTTGATTGTTTCTGTTACCGAAAAAGGGGAGAAAGAGGGAATTGGTAAAGGATAAGACTTGAGAGAGTTGCCTGTTATGTTAATGGCAGGATCCTCAAAGTAGGGGGTAGGGGTGGGCATCCGGTTCGGTAAATACGAATCGAACCCGACCGAACCGAATCTCGATCGAACCGAACCCGAATTATCCGAACTCGGTTCGGAATTCGGAAACAGAATAACCAGATTTCGGAACCCAGGGTAGTCCAACCGAAACCGCATTCCGAACCCCCGAACCGAAAACCCGAACTAACCTGAACCTACTCTACCTCTCCCAGCCCAGACCACTCCCGAAGCCCACCCTCAACAACCCACTCATCTCCTGAAGCCCAATACCTCCCCAATCCTAAGCCCAACCTCTACCCTATCTGCTATTCCATTCCCAGCAGCACCCACAATGGCGAGAAGAAAGAGAGATGAAGGAAAATCGCCACCCTCACAACATTCCCCTGCATCTTCTCGACTCCCCGACGATCGATGTCACCGCTGTCACCGCAGCCCGCAGCCTGCATCCAGCTCGCCTCCTCCGCCGCCCGCAGCAGCCCCGCTAGCTCCTTGTCGCAGCCCGCACCAACGATGAAATCCGCCACTCCCCACAAGACTCTATAGCAGCGGGATCGCGGTGACTCTGTCCTTGAGGTCGGAAACTAGAGTTCGAATCGCTTCGGCCTTGGCGATTTGGTTCTCTGCCCCCTCCGCAAAATAGATCTAGCAGTCCCCCCTTCGTTCTCCCTCTAAAACTGCACCTTTGAGATCTCTACTTACCTTTTTATCTCTTTCCTCTGAAAATGAAAATGAAATTTTGTTTGGGATACACTTTTGTTTGGGAGAGAGTTTGTTGGAGAGGGAGAGAGAGCAGGGCAGTAGAGGGAGGGGTGAAAGAAGGGGATGGAGATTTGTTTAGGAGAGAGAGAGAGCAGCAGAGAGAGGGAGAAAGAAGGGGACGGAAGATTGAAGGGGATGGGGGGAAGCAGGGGAGAGGATTTCTCTAGAAGTTCGGGTTGGTCGGGATCCCGAACCGAACCGAGATAAATTTCGGTTCGATCTGACTGAACCGAAATAAATTTCGGTTCGAATTCGGTTGAGAATTTGGGATGGTTGGAGGACTCGGTATGCTCCTGTTCGGTTCGGTTTTGACCGAACCGATGCCCACCCCTAGTAGGGGGTAATGGCGAAGGTGATTTGTGCAAATCTTTTTTCCGGCTAAGATGACGGGGAAGTGAAATGTATCATATTTCTTCCTTTTGGTCATATAATGTTTTAAGTTAGATTAAGATCATAGTGAAGGAGTAATTACTTAATTCTTTATTGTTAGATTTTTTTTTTATATAACGTGGATTACTCTCTACGATCACAACTTTCACGCCAAATTATAGGGGTGGCTAATTTTTTACACAATCGAAGCAGAGCCAAGGTACCGCAGAGGGAACACCCATCTCACACGGCGGAGCGGTGGCTCGAACACACGACCTTCGTGTGCCAAACCCTACCCACTTTGGCTGGGCTATTTACATAGTTGGTATTGTTAGATTTTATCCGGTTCATGTGCTGAAAGAGTTTTGATTTAGCAAGGTTCATATCAAACCTCATTTGATCTCGCAGTTCTTCAAACAGTGGTGGGTGAAGTTTCTTCTCATCGTCCACCTATTCCGGATGTTGTTGTTGGGAGGCCTTCCCCGACTGCTTTCTTCGATGGCACCACTTCTCGCGATGGTTTTGAGACTGTTGGATTTGTTCTTCGTGCTAGTTCTGGAGTAATCGTGACATCTTCAGCAAGACGGTACTTGGGGATTACTGATGCATCAACTCTTGAGACTTTGGCTCTCCGAGATTGTCTCTTGGTTTGCAAGGCGGACAAATGTTTTGGTAGCAGGCGACGCTAAAGTGGTAATTGATAAATGTTTGGCGCGTCGTATTCTGGATTCGAGTTATGGTGCGATTTTACACGAAATTGCTTTAATCTTGGATGAATCTATTGGGAAGGTGCTTCGGCTTGTTGGTCGTGAAGGTAACAAAGAGGCTCAATTGTTAGCTCGAAAAGCTCTGTTTTTGTCCCCTCAGATGTCAGGGTTCGACTATGTTTTCTGACTTCGTAGTTTGTAGTAGCTTTGTAATGAACTCTATCTTTTATTTCTCTTTGATCAAGAGATCTAATGACAAAAAAAAACTCATTTAGCATGTGTAATAAGTAATAACATAATAACATATAACGAGTTTTTTTTCTCTCGTTTAGCGAGAGCGTAGCAAGGCGGCGGAAACCCTAGGGTTGTCCGAGTTTTTCCGAGAGGCGACCTGAGTTCTAGAGCGGCTGATCTAAGTTCGATCAGAGAGTCAATTTAAGAGTAGGATAAGGAGAGCAACCAAAGAGAGGTAGCACCAGAGTTTCATAATCTCAAGGCGTCTCAGCGCTGGAGACTTTACAAACTGTGAAGGAAAAGGAGAGGAACTTGACACGCAAGAAAGAAAACAGAGGCTATCTATTGAGGGGAAACTTTAAAAGAGGAGCAGGCTGAGCAATGGAAGCCAAGGAACTAGCATCGACAGGTACAGAGGAGGAAGGGGTGGAAGAGGATCCCGCAACCAAAACCCTAAGTCTGGAAGAACAGCTTGATAAGATCACCCTAGCGGAGGACGACGAACCCCCGTTGGAAGTAGAGGACTCTGACGTGGACGTAGTGAGAATGGAGGCAGTCAGAAGACTAGGGCTTGTTGGCCGTCTGATGGCGGAGAAACAGCCCAACCTGAAGTCATTGAAAATAGCTTTAGAAAAAGCGTGGAATCTTCGAAAAGGGTTCCAGATTACAGATCTGAAGGATAAGTTATTTGCTTTTCAGTTCCTGGAAGAGGATGATAAAAATAAAGTCATGTTTGGGGGACCGTGGCACTATGAGAACAATGTGATAGTATTCAAGGAGTGCCTGCAAATACAAAGACCAAATCCGAGCGACTTACATCTGATCGATCTTTGGATCCAGATTCGTGGAATCCCAGCAGAGCTAAGGACAACGCAGATGGCATCCAAGATTGCAACAAGATTTGGGGAACTAGTCTGGTTTGATGATACAGGCTACCTGTGGGACGAGCATATGAGAATAAGGGTCAGTCTATCAATTAACAATCCATTGAAGAAGAAGATAAAGCTAAATATAAAAGGCAGACTAGAGGAATATCATATCAAATATGAGAAATTGCCAATGTTCTGCTATTCATGTGGGAGAATTGGACATCCTAAACTTCGATGTGATAAGCCATCAAGGATTGTGCCAGACCCGTTTGGAATGGAGCTGAGGACGGATGGACCAGGGCCTAGAAGCTGGCCTTCACGTGCAGCGAGGAGAGAGGATGCTGAGGTGTGGGAGATACTAAGGAAAACATTTGAGGCGGAAAGCTCAGGATCTAACTCGGATTTTGATAGATCTTTTCCTGAAGAGCGAGGGGTGATCAGACAAGGAACTG